AAGATGCATTCATAATTTGGTCAGAAGCTGTAAAGGAGTGTTCAACATTTACAAAGATATGCAAGGCGAATATGTGCTTGTTAAATTGCTACTGTTACTGTTACAAAGAATAAACATATAATAGAAACAAAGCTCAAAATGACATTACAGGCTAACAAGGTGAAAACAACCTAAAGCTAAAAACTTGCATTTAGAATAGAAAAAGAAACAGTTGGTCACATATACAAGAGGAAAATTTAGGTGAATGGTTGCTCACATGGAAATTGAGAGGGGACTTTTGTTTGCCACAAGCCACAAGACAAGTCAGTATTATGATACAGTTACTAAAAAAGCTAATACACTTTTAGACTTTAATACAATATCCAAACAAGCTTAAGTAATAGCAGCATTTCAATCTGTGTTTGCTACAATGTCTTTGGGGTACTGTGTTCAATTCTGGGTGCATAATTCAGGAGGGATATGGACACAACAAAGTGTTCAGAAGAGTAACTGGGAAGACTTCTAGAATCAGAAAAGCTGAAGAATATTGGGTTGCTCTACCGAAAAGTAAGAGAACACATTATTTCCTCAAAACTTCAATATATTGTGGAGAGAAACAGATCTGTACTATGTAACTCTAATTGGCACAATTAAAGCAAATGGGTAGAAGTTACGGGAAGTTTAAATCCAACTTATTATAAAGGAACAAAGTTTTGACAACCAGCGCTCATCAAAAGTGGAATGAACCAGAAAGTTACCTTGCAGGGGAGCTTCAAGCTTCCTTCACTAGACTGCAAAATAAACTTTATGCCTATGAACTGGCGACGGTTCATTTCTCAATGGTTGAGTAAGTATTTAATTGGTGTTGTTAAAACATAAAAAATAAATCATTCAGTATTAAACATCATTAAGATGTGCCTATAAAATAGAATTTTAAAAAATCAAGATACTTTTTAATACAGGTCATTTATTTTTTAAATATGAACAAGAAATATACTTGGGGAAAAAAATTAAGACCAAATTTATTATTAATTTTTTTAAAAATCCCTCTAGAGTTTTGTTCTGTTTATGTAGGGTTGCTATGAGTTGGAACCGACTCTATTCAATTTAACGAAAAGAACAGTTCTAATAAGCTCCTCATTTCCTTACTGACTGTGCCATAACAAAATGTGAATTAGGTAATCTGAAATATAATTTAACAGAATGGAACATGGCAAGACACGTGATAATTTTACTTCAAAAAGCCTGAAAACAAAGGTCACTTGGAAAGCAGCCAATGTACATGATAAAATAGGTTTTTACCATTTCTATTGAAGTCTGAATGTCATTTGACACACTGAAATGAATAGATTTGACTTTTTCTATGTAGAGAACAAAAACACCAGACTATATAATTATGGGGAAAATATTTTCTCATCTCCTATAGTAAAAAAAAAAAAAAGGAAGAATGACAGTATCCTTAAAGTACATATTTATGAATAATACAGTATTCCAAAATAGCATGGAAGTAAAATATTTCTAAGTTATGCTGCAATTAAAAAAGTA